GCAAGGGAAATAAGCAGAAACTTCAGGACCCCCTAAAAGAAAGGGGCTTGTGGTGCATGTTCCCCAACAAAGTAAGTCAAAGAAACGTGCTTGTACAACAAAACACAAAACCCTGAATTCTGTGAAACCAGAACAAGTACCAGGTACTGCCAAGAAACAGAATGTACCCCCCGGAAGGTTTCAGATTAACTGGGTCATTAGAAGTTTATTAATTGGCTAAGAGTTTATATCCTGTATTTGCTGCTACTTACTGCAACCACAAAGAATGTTTTTTTCCCTTGAAACCAATGTCTTTTTAGTCTAAAAATAAAATGCATACTAGTACCATTCATTCCATTGCTTCAACCTAGGTGCCCTCTAGAATTCATGAACAATCTGTTCAGCTCTTTCATTCATAAGATAACCTGTAAAAATAGAACAGTAATTCTTAATCTTTATTTGAAAGAGGAGGATTTGAGGATTCTTCCCTGCTCCTATATTAGTTTGGAAATGCCTTTTGAAAATACAACTAGATATGAAAAGTGTTTGGTCATACATTATGGTCTCCTCCCACAACCTCATATTGCCTTTTATTTATTCCTCTAGCAATTTTCATCCATCTCTGCACTTCTTCAAGGAACCCTCCCAAGAACATCAATTCTGTAAGATTGTTCCATCACCTTCAACTGCTGAAGAGTCTTTTGTGCAGCATTTCAGATGCCAAACCCAGTTTAGTCAGCCAGTAATTGGGAGTTAAAGAAGAGAATTACATGTCAGCATTTCCAACAGTGGCCAACCTTGAACAGCAGTAAGTGAATCAGCATGTGCTAAAACCACGACTGCTCATAGTCTTACATCCTCAGAGACATTTGAACCAGCTGAAAACTCAGTGGAAGCAAGACAGCTGCAACAGCCGTGATACGGAGCTGGTTCTATAGGAATCTGAAGTTTAGCTTGAGGATTAAATTTAGTAACACTTGTTTTTCTTTGGCTCCACGAAGCCAGGCTGTCTCCAAGGAGGAAACAGGACATGATTGTCCTGACACTGATCTTCAGCCTAGGAGTTGTGGGATGAAGCAGTGTAGGAATCCAGAGAAACATACACCCCAGCCTCACCCAGACCAAGTGGATGACTGGGCTTATGTATTTTTAAAAAGCTGTTTTCATAAGGGTTGCCTGTTAACTGTTCAGTTCAGGTCTTAATGCTGGAAGACAGCTGTAAGTGGTCAGGCCTGGAAATGCCAGCACTTCTGTTTATAGGGAGCTTAATTAGAACAGTATGTAGGTTGTACAGCACAGAGATCTCACAACTGGAGGATTTCAAAACCATACCAAAGTGTGGGGTTTTTTTTCTCCTCAGTCATCAGGCCGTTACACTAAAACCATTCAAAACAGAGCAAAAAAAGTGCAGACACCATCAGAAATGCACAGTGAAGGCAGCTTTGAGGGGACACCAAGGCACAGTCACCCTGCAACAGCACAGAAAGTGAAAGCTAAGATGCAGATCTATCGATCTTTACAAGATAAGCCCAGGACAACAAACAAAGCAAGGTCAGTTCGGGTGCCTGAGAACAGATCACATCATGGTCTGGAAGGTGGAGAAAAAGCAAGGTTTGACTTAGAGCCGTTTTGTATAGAAACAGGAGGTGAGTGTTGCCACGGGAACAGAAAAGCCAAGTGGGTAACACTGACTCCTGGGATAGCAGCAAATAAGTGACTGAACTTATATACTTGGTGTGACTGGAATCCAATCTTAAATAAAACGCAAGGTTTATTTCCAATAGCAGAATGACCAGTTCTTTTCTGCTTTCTCCCTGGACACGTGTCAGAGCCTCGGCAGCAGCGCAGAGAGGCCTGGATCCCTCTCAGAGGCAGCGAAAACCCGAGAGGCAGGGACCAGGCGGGCAGGGCTGCCTCTTGGTGCGCCAAAAACGTCACGTTTACAGCTCAGAAAACACGACGGGAGCGCTGCTGCCCTTCCCCGCCAGGCCCGTGTCACTCACCGCCCCGTTCCCGCCCCCGGCCCTGCCGCGGCCATCGCGGCTCCCCCGGGCCAAGGGCCGCACTTACCGGGCTCGTACTTGAGGTAGAGGACGGAGACGATGAAATAGGCCGTGTCGAAGAGGGGGAAGACGGGCAGGGAGGCGAAAGCGG